TAGAAACACACAGAATTGCGGTCTCTCAACACTAGGTGCTAGAAAGCTGGGCTGTCCCAGCTCACAGATTTCACTTTGTCTCTTGGTTCTTTTCAGTATTTTTTAATTCAAGAAACAAATCAGAGTAATACATTTTCTCCCCGAATCAATTTGTTTAACAACAAAATGTTGCTAACCATTAAAACACAAACCACGTAGCCACGATGCCAAGAATAGCACAGAATATTCGTACATGATTTATCCCCACACATTACACAGACAGCGGTTGGCTCTGGCATATGGTTTGTCACAAAGATGGCGTTTTACAGACAATACTGTTCAAGATTTCTCCTCTTCACATCCTTTTCCAATTTCTCACCTCCTTACCAGACTTCACTAACGTACATTTTTAACCCGTGGTGAATTTTTTCTCCTGTAAAGCTACCAGCGTAACAATTACACAGCCAAAAAAAAAAATAGTATCAAGACAGTGCACAAAAATTCTCATTTTCTAGCTACGTAGAGAAGCTGCTCCCAAACATCATGAGCCCCAATTTCCTACGGCTTCTAGAATTTAGACTCACAGATCCATCATTCTGCTCGTTACCTGACTCTTTATTAGTACACTCCACTGATCCTAAATGCAGTTTCGGAATACAATTGAGCTATCTAGAGATTGCAATCCCAGAAATCCCTTCGTTTCCCCCCGATTACACTGCTGGCCTTACGATGTGTAATCAGATCCTGCTTTTCCTGCAACACTTCAAACACTTTCTAGCTTTGGAACCAGCAACATCAACTTACTGGGGTGTAACGTGGGGACGTGTTGTCCCAGTCTGTCATCTTTGAGCATGTGCAGCAGTGTCGTTTTTCCAGCATTGTCCAGTCCAAGAAATACCAGTTTGCCCGATTTCTTGTACAGTCCTAGGACAAAGAAGCAGCTAGTGAATAAACAGTTAAACCAGCGATGGTATCCAAATGGATTTTTTTATGTCAGTTCATAGATTATTTGACAAAAAGTAACATTCACCCCTACCCTCAACTAAACCCTATGGACGCATCCTCAATGGCATCATCAGGGCGATTCTGACACACTTGCTGCCATGTGATAACGCTTTCATGACAGGAATAAGAAATTTTATTTTCACCAATTGTAATGTTTACAAAAATGCCTTCTTCCCTTTTTTCTCCTCTACTTGTAACCCCAGTAAATGCAACGGTTGCTGTGAAGGAGATGAAGGATGTTTAAAACACAAAACATCCTGTTTTCCTAAGTTTGCTATTATCAAAGGGCACTTGCTTATAATTTGCCAATGCTACAGCCTATGCCAGGATTATTTTTCACTGCTTCAAACTGATTGATGTTCAAATTAAACATTTTTAAGGCAAATTTAAGAAAAAAATAAATAAGTACTTTCTTCAGTACAGAATCTGATTTAAGAATCTCTTAGCTTTGCCTTTTCTAAGCAGGAAATCTTCCCTTATTCTCTGTTCAAAGCCCTGTGGTTGGATACCACACACTGTACATCTCCTTAGGAACCACTCCTGAGCCCACAGCCCTCAGGAGTGCTGAAGAGGGCAGAACACTTCGGGCAGAGCTTGAGGAAATACATGTGCAGGTTTTAACTGAAATTAAACTTCTTCAAAAGCAAAACCGAGCTATGCTCCTACCACAATTCTCTCTTCTTGCTGTCCAGCCCACCTAGGTCTCCCTGCACGAGGAGGCCAGGCTGGCAGAGCGAGCCAGCAATATCAGTTTCTTGGAGCCCTCATTCTTCCTCCAGATGTGCCGCGCCAGCCTCACATGTGGTTTATTTGGTGGGATCTGGAGCGGTGCTGCCAGCCAGGTGGCTGCTTGGGCAGCCCTGTCAATGCCACAGCGCGACAGGGGCACACGCGCCTCTGCTCGGCCGACCTTTACCCTCTGCTCTTTGCTCACCTCTCCCTCTGCCTTTGAGCTAATCTTTGGGATCACATTCCAGTGGGACATGTTTTGTAACCCGCAGGAACAAATATTCTTTCATTTTCCTCAGCTTATTTCATTAATAATCTTCATTACTACAGGTGCTGTAGTGTCCTCACGGTTCTTTCAAAGACAACTGTTTCTTCCCAAACACACCTTCTCACGTCCTCAAAAATATATTAACTGTTAAACTGCAGAGTGAAGAAGAAAGTATTAATGTCTGCAGAGAAAGGAGTGGGAAAATATTTTAATGCATTAACTTATGTCACAGGAGAAACAGTTGACACCTCATATGCTAAACAAAATCTTACTCAATCGTAGTAAACTAGTAATATTTTTGCCACTCTCAGCCTGCAAATCCAGGAGCCTTTGCTCCCAAGTCAGGTGATGCTGCTTTCTCTGAAACATTCTCTGAAACTAATTCTATGATTTCATGCTTCCCAACTGCCTTTTATAGAAATGCAAGATGAGCAAGCAGCAATACTTCAGCTAATAGCTACACCAAGACCAGATTTTATATATTAGAATATATATATAGGAGATACATATATTAGAAAAAACAATCTTTGTGTGTTCTAAAAGTACACATGTGCAAAGATGTACTCCAGGAAGCTCACAGAACTGTGAGGAGTTTCCCCAAGTGTTATAATTGGCCTTCTTCAACTGTAAAGGTAAATAAGAACAAAAAGAGAAAGTGTTTCTTCTAGAATAAAAGGGATTAATTCTCCTTCCTACTTCAGGCTCCAGTATATTTCAGCAGAATTAGACTTTGCAGCAATGGGCAAGTGGGCTAGTGTGCAGTAATCACTGCTCAGCTAAGAAAGAAGAGATAAGGAAGATTAGTCAACTCAGTTAAAATTTCACTGGCTAATATCCTGACAGTAGGCCAAGGGTCTAACATTCAGCAAAAAAGTATAAACTTGCAACTGATAAAAAGGCAGGTGGCACAGCTTGCTGTGACTCCTTAATCTCAAACGCTTTTTATCCACTTGAGTGAACTCCTTCGAACTTGTAAATTGTGCCTTTACCTACGTAATCTGCAACTTCTGATCCTTTTTTTAATATCCTAACATTCCTTTTCCTCCTATTTGTTTCTTTTAACTTCCCTCCCTCCCCTACTTTGCTCAAGCTAATATTTCACCTTGGACAGATAGGGATTGCAGAGCGTTTTGGCCAGGGAATACTTTCCGAAGGCTCTTCAGCGGCTGCCAGTGAAGTTTCACACAGATTTCTGTGACACCAGTCACAGAATAACATGCTCCTCGACGGGAGCAAGGGCTTCAATATCCAGCACTAATGTTTCGTAGACAGTCCCACATATTTGGATTCTCAGCTGACATCCTCACGTGCAGAAGAAATGAACTAAAATAACTGAGTGCAATTCTTCACAGCAGAGAAAAAGCAAGGGAAGCTCTATCAAAGCCAACTGAATTACACCAGCTTAAATGTAGTACGATTAGAAAAATCAAACCTATCACATTCATGAAAGTAATTGTAATATTTTTCAAGAATTTAAAGGATTAACATAAGATTGAGTGGAGAGCACACTCTGGAAAAACTCAGTACTGATAAGCAAAACTTTTGTTTGAGCGCTACTGAATATACACCCAAACAAATATTCTTATTTAACCAACAGCTACGTTTGAAGATAACAGAGGTGAACAGACATTTCATACAAGAATAGCAGAAAGGAAAAACCCCAAACAATAACAACTTACCTAAAAACTGTAATACACTACTGAAACCACTGTAAATCCAATCAAATATGAAGGACATATCTGAATCTTATAATCTGAAATAAACAGAAAATATAAACATATTTAAGATCTGTCAGAACAGCACATTAAACATCATAAGATATTTATAGGTAGCAAAAGCAATTCAAAGTCCTGGGTGAAAAACGACAAACAACTTAGTTTTGGTAAACTTTATCACAGAGCAATTAAGTGACCCAATAAAGCATTAAAAAAAAATAAACGTAGAAACAGAAATCAGAATGCAGACTTCGTGATTCCACAGCGAAGACTTTTTCCTCCCTTTGGAAAACACTACGTGGACAGATGCCTTTGCAGAAGTAAAAATAATTTTATCTTAAGCACAGTTGGCTGGAGGTGTGCGATGTCCCACTGCAGATTTCTAATGGGCAGAAACTTTTTAACTGGGAAAACCTGGCACTTTTGAGAGGGCACCAGAGGGATGCCAGAGCAGGGTGTGTTCTCCAGCTGCCCTTGGGAGCTGCTGGGGTTTGAAGCAGAGGCGATAAGAGGTGAAGAAGTTTCATGAAGTTGAATCCAGAGAACTTTGATACCAAATAAATCCCTGTTGTCTGCACGGAACCTGCCTGTTTAGCTTGTAATGGGAAATAACTACGTAGTACAAAGCGCTGGAATCAGCATTCAAAGACCACCACCTCTTGTACTGTCCCGCACAGGCTGCACAATTTAAACCTTAAATGCAAAAGTTTACAAGAGGACTCTAGAATGCCGTGCTTCTCACCAAATTCCTTCAGCTTAGGTAAGAGAGCAGAAGTTGGAGCCAAGAACAGCCCGAATGACTATAACCAACACCTTGGCTGCGCCACACAACCGTCAGCCAACTTCAGCTGACCCCCACAGGGTCACTCCTTGCTACCAGGACAAAGCTCTGCTACTTCACAGACACCCCTTCTTTGTGGGATGGTTAAAAACATAAGGGTGCTATGCTTGTCCCTGAGAAAGACCCGAGTGGCCAGGATAGATTGCACAGACTGATGAACTCGGTTGCTCCTGTCCCTGAAAAAAAAAACCACAAAGCAAGGGACCTGGGGGTGTTGGTGGACAACCG